TTCTCCTGCCCCTCCCACTTCCCCTACCCCTTTGGACCTTTTCTTCCTATTTTACATTATCAGTTATTCATTCTAATCATTGGTACATTTTAGGTATACAATATAATGACATTCATCATTGGACATTTGCACCTTTACATAGTCTCTCTTGGTTCTTATTTTTCACCCTTGCCCAGCCCTCCCTTCAACCCCTCCAGTCCTCCCTATTTACAAAGATTTTGTTCCTATTTTTCCATTTTCTCATATTAATCCCATTCCCTTCTATCCTTTCCCCTAGCCCTCCCACTTCCTTCCCCTTTGCCCCTTTTCTTCCTATTTCACATTACCTATTATACATTTAGTCCTTATTTACACTTCAGTTTCTCACACCAGAGAAACTATTCGGTATTTATTCATGTGTGTCCTATTTATTTCACTTAAAAGTATCACCTCAATGTGCATCCACTTAGCTATAAATGTCTTTAATTTCTCATTTTTTATGGCTGAGTAGTACTCCATTTTATAAAAAAAAAAACCACACATTTTCTTTATCCATTCTCCAGTTGATGGGCATTTGGGCTGTTTCCAAGTTTTACCTATTACAAACTGTGCTGCTATGAACATGGGAGCACACATATCACTGTGGTATGATTCTTTTAATTCTTTGGGGAAGATCCCCAGCAGTGGAATAGCGAGGTCAAATGGGACTTCCAGTCCTAGTTCTTTGAGGCATCTCCATACTGATCTCCACAGTGCTTGCACCAGTCTACACTCCCACCAGCACTCACTGCCATTTTCTGTTTTCTACTCCCCACCTCCCTTGCCCTGCATCCAATTTTCCAGCCCTCTAACTAGCTCATCCCCTAAGTATCAGATCTCTGAGAGTTCAAATTTAAAATTCAACTCATATGAACTGCTCAGATATTAATGGCTCATGCACCTATGGCTCTTTTTTTCCTCCAGGAAACAGCACACATTAAACAGGAGCCTCTAATAAAGCATTCATTTGTCAATTCAGACAAGAGGCTCTGCTGCTGGAAAATTCAGGAAAATAATGTTTGAGGATAGATAGATTAGTGACTCCCAAGGTACACTATTTACTGGGTCCTAGCTCTCTCATCATTATAATATTTGGGAGGAGGGTGGTCATATGGGATAAATCTTACTGTGTTGTCTCAAATCTGTCCAAATAAGACCAACTAGAATTTCAAGGCAACCTATGAATAGCATTATTCTATTTCATAGAAATAAAATTGTAATTTTGAAATTGGAAATAGTTTAGCCTTCAAGATAGATCTAATGGTATGTGAGCTTAGAGTCCTTTGAAGGGCACAAATTCATTCATTCCCCCCACCACCACCTTCCCTTGATTTCTACTTGCTGATGCTATCAGCCAACCCCGACTCCCTTTCTCTCCTCTGCAAGTATTTTGATTTCTGCTAACTCACAACTTTGCCTATTCATAACTCTTTTCTACTTATAATTCCTACACATGGCCCCAATTGTTTCATAGTCTTTGGGTGAGTATTTTTAGTGTCTCCTTTGGATTCTAATTGATCCACTGTAATTTTTCTAATTCAAATGCCCTAAAAGTAGAAGGTACCTGGATCAATTAATTAACCTTCTTGTTGAAATAGTCTTTTCCAGGCCTTAGCAGGTACCTTTAATTGCCAGCAATAGAAATAAATTTGTTTGATTGAAGCAAAAAGGAAATTCATTGAAATGATCAAAGAGATGCTCAGAAAATAGAGACAAAGGGAGGCAAAGCAGGGAGAATTGCAGCCAAATCAGAATGTGGAATTAGTTGAGCAAGGACTCTGTTGCCATCACTAGATTGTAGGGACCATAACTAGCAACTGATACCTGCATACTGAAAAACAGACATCACTGCTTGCCCCCTACCCATGCTGGGTCTGGAAAAATGGACATTGTTGCAACTACTACCACAAAGAGCTCTCCCCATTTTAGCTTCCTTGCATAACCACCTCCTAATTCCAGGGTTAAGGAAGGTATATTTGATTGGCTAAGACTAGGTCACATGCTCTTACCCAGCTGCAGTGTGAGGTGGGGTGGTGTGGGTAGGGTAGAAAAGAGTACATGGCCTTTTAGGCTTCATCAGTGGGAAATGGTCTCTGCCTGCCACTGGGTCTTGAACAGGAGAAAATATAATAAAAGGGCCAGATCAAGGGAAGCTAAGGAAAACTGCAGGACCCATTACACTCAGATCCTTTCATTACAAGCCCATCCTTAGCCAAGAACTATGCTAAGAAGAATAGAATGTGGCTGCTCACTTAGTGGGAACCATAAGTGGGAATTTTAACTGTCCAATGCAAGACAATGTTGTATGCAAAAGACCACAGAGATTTGTTTCATGTGCACTATTCACTTAAAGACACATAAGGCACAGTTAGTCAAAGTCTGTATTTATGTTCACATCTGTCTTCCAGGTTAGACTACAAGCATTTTTGTGTTGAAACTTTGACTTATTCATTTATCCAGTGCCTAGAGCATTGCCCAGTATGTAGTAGACGGTTCAAAAATGTCTATTGCATTATAAATAAATAAACTCAGCTTCCCCTATCAGGTGAGCTGACTCAATTCTTCACAATCTCTGGAGGCATTAAAAGAGTTTTTTGCCAGTTCAGAGAAGGGCAATATTAATGCATCTTAGCCCAAAGAAACAAGGAGAAAGAAGAGTTTACAAAGACCCCAAAACACATTTACATGTTTTTCCTGTGCTGGGTTTGAGTGCTTTCATTTTCATTTCCCTTTTTTATTATAATTGCTCTTTTAAAAAAACTATTGCAACAGTTGGCCTTGTTGACTTTGACAACCACTCTCAGACCTAATATCATCAGAGTTTATTTGCTGTCATGACTGGGGAGCTAGAACAACCTGGCCCAAAAGCAGAAGGTTTGGACAACCACTAATACTAACTATGGTGTGTTGAAAGGTCTCTCCTCAAAATATATGTACTCCTAGAGCTTATAAGTATAACCTTACTTGAGAAAAAGGTCTTCGCAGATATAATTAAGAATATTAAAATGCAATCATTCTGGTTTAAGGTGGGCCTTAAAGCTAATGAAAATGTCTTTAAAAGAAAGGGGGAGAAAACACATCAAGGAAATTACTTGAAGACAGAGGCAGAAAACTGGGGTAATGCATCTGCCTACGAGTCATAAAACACCAAAAGTTGCCAGAATCTAGGAAAAAATGTATGCAATAGATTCTCTCAGAGGTCTTTGAGATTCCAAAAGGAACCAAGTGACATTTTAATTTCTGTTGTTTTAGTCCACCCAGTAATGGCTTAAGTGGTCATTTGTTACAGAAGCCCTAGGAAATGAATACACTAACAAAGTTCAGGAAATGTCAAGAAAAGCCTTACAGGAAAGACAAGTAAAGAAAAACAAGGGAAAAATAAAGAACTGCTCATGCCAGTATAGATTAAATGTCTGCCAGACAATGGAGAGTTTTCTTACTCTCTGAAATCTTCAAGACATCTCAGTGGACAAACCACATTAGAACTATGTGGAGTCTGAATGAACCCGTGGGGCTGGGGCAGGAATCTTAAGCACAAAGAAATTTGAGGACACTTATGTTAAAGGTCAGTAGATCTAACTGTGCTCTCATACTCTCAGGGTTCCCCAAGGGAGGTGTGAGAACAACCAGTGATACTTGATATGGTTTTAGGTGACACAGGGGACATACATTTTTATTATGTGTTGAAATGCAGGTATCTATTGAACCAATCATTTCATGGCACTATTGCTTGTGACAAGGCTAAGTAAGAATACAAGGTAGAATTTATTAAGTGCACAACACAACAGGAGGTAGATGAATGTAACAAAACTCATGGGAGCCGCGCAAGTGAGGCTCAGAGTGAAAATGCAAAGGAGTTGGGGGAAAACAGTTCTCTAAGTCTGCCTTGCAATACGATTCATTCTTCCTTCTTGTACTTGAGATCAAACACAGAAAGATCCATATAGCAGAGATTCACATGACCCATAACTGCCCTGAAGAAGGAAGAGGGGAAGACACACCCTTTATTTACCAAGGTGCCCCAGAGTTAAGCCGGATGCCCCTGCCTGTCTCTACCTGAACAACATTTGAACATAGGCATAAGTAACAGGGTCCTAGCATTTAACCCCAGGTGAATAGCAGTATATGTGCAAGTGTAAATGGTCCCTGAGACTAGGCCAGCATGGTCCTGTATTGATTTGCTTTCCCAGCTCACCAGCAGGTAGGTCTCAGGGTGAAGACCAAAGAGCAGGTGGATTAGGGGCTCAAGGAGAAGGTAGCCACAACACTGCCCAGGGGCTCAGCCCTTTGCAGGCCACACAGCCAATAGGATTGTTAAATGTCAGAGTAAAAGAGACCTCAGACATCAAATAAGTCAGACTTCTCAGCTGAGTTCAAAAACTGAAATACAGAGACAGTCTTGAGGAGAAGGTTACAAGCTGGCTGATAACAAAAGGGAGACATCTCAATTAAAGATACCTTTTCCAGAGTTCCTTTATGATAGATGGCTCTCTCTACCCTTAGGGGCTTTCATGATTGGCAGTCATAGACACTGCAATCCTATTCATTCATCTGATGATGTGGCCGAGGATTCAGAGGATAGCACACAGCACCGCTGAATGAGAGAGGCTGGAGGTGGGATGAGGAGGATGCCCTCACGAAGCTCAGTCAGAGCTATCAGCGCTAGGTATGTGAGGAAGCACTGCTGGGTCACTGGGGTGGGCCAGCATGGGTCGCATAAAAAATGTAAGAGAAGAAACTTGGCAAGAAGTGAACGCTTTCACTACAGAGAGAGGTCCCTGTGTCCCAAAGCAACTGCATCTCCACTTCATATACCCAAGTAAAAGTTAACCACACCACACCTGCCTTTCCCAGTTGGGGCTCCCTGCGCAAACGCCTCCTCAACCTCCGGGATTTTCCAACGGTGGCGCAAGCTCCTCCCTCGCCAGAGCGGGGTGTAGTCCTAGCACCAAGCGCCCTCGCGAGCTGCAGCTGGGGTGAGGCGAGGAGTGGGCCCCGCTCGCGGCCATTGGTTGTGCGGGCCCAGAGGGGCGGAGGGATTGCGCGCGGGTCGGGGAGAGCCCACAGACCCGGGCCCATTCCCGCTGCGCCCGCTGCTCGTGCGCTCTGGCCAGCGCCGCACCCCTGAGCCCAGCGTTCCCGGGGACCCGCGCGCAACGCGGAGGCAGGGTCGCCACCCCACCCAGAGCGCCGGAGCCCGGCCGAGGTGATCACACGTCCAGACCTGCAGGTCAGTGAGGGGCTACCGCCCAGGCCGGCGACCCAAGGCAGAGGAGTGGGAAGTCCAGACGCACAGGATGCTGCTGAGCGCCTGAATGAGCTCGCCCTGCGCGCGGGGCTCCCCGACTCCTCCTCTAGGACGGCCTTGGGTCCCTCGGCCTCCCGAGCCTCGTCCCAGACTCTCCCCGGGCTCCTTGCTGTAGAAACCCCACCCCATCTTGTCCTTCTCGCCGCGGGCTGCTTCCGTAGGGTCCCGGAGCAGCCTCTGGCAGCCCAGCTTGCAGGGGCTCAGGGAGACTCCAAAGGCTACAGTGGGACCCGCGAGAGACCCGGCGCACAATGTCCTTGGCCCCAGGATGACCCGCCTCGTTCCCAGACACAGGGAGCAGGAAAGGTCTGCCCTGGTGTCCGCCGTTGCAGAGGTTGATTTTTCCACACAGGAGCAGACAGTTCTACACTTTGCAGAGTGTGCTTCTAGGTGCATTTCGTTTGGTCTTTGTGATGGTGTGTGGTCATTCTGTTTGTTTTGTGCTTATGTGCATTTCTAGAGTCATCTGCCCCTTCCTGGGGACTGGCCACTGGCACACTGACGACCTTTGCTCCCTACCACGTTTTTTACCTGTCTTCGGGTGGCTTCAATTCCGGAGAAGTTTTTCCTGGCGCTGAGCACGCGTTCCCCAGCAGTGTTTTTCCGAGTTCTCCGAAAACCCAGTAAGTAATTGCATTGGCGACCTTTTCCTTTCCTAGGTTTGATGAGACGCTGGAATCCTGTGTTTCCCAGGCAAGGCGCGTGGGTTACGGGCAAATTGTTTGAGATCTTGTTAAGAAGGATACGTAATGTGCTGTCCTTTAGGGAGCAGAAAGATCCGTTCATTCACAGAAACATCTTGTTGAGAACCAGGTTTGGAACTGTGCCTGAGCTCTTTCTGCCACTGGCCACCAGATGCCTGGCCCTTGTGGGAGCTGGGGTTCGGTGTTGGATTCCAGAGACTGGGTCTATTTCTTAATGTCCTCCATTTCCTCTGTTAATTTTCCTTGGTTTTTTGTTTTTGGTTTTGGGGTTTTTTTCCCCCAAATTGAGTTCCGGGTTTGTTTGTTGTTCGTTTGTTTGTGGTGGATCATGAGATCCAAAGGCTAGAGGACATCTCAAAGCCATCGAGTTAGGTGAGAGGTCCGTCACACAAGTGCAACAGCGGTGACTGTCCCGTTGCCCACCTGGGGGCCACTCCCAAAGATATTTCTCCTCGTTTGCCTTTCACTTTAGAGTTCCCAGATTCCTTGTTCAGACAATAGCCTATCAAGGGAAAAGAGGCTAGATAAGTGATAGTCTTTTCCTAGAAGGTTTCCTGATGCAGTTTTGCTGCTGAATGCACCCTCATTAAAAAGGCAATACTGTATTTAATTTACTTAATTATCTAGCCAGTAGGATTCTTTTATCTTATTTGTGAGATAGCCCATAGAGGATCTTTAGTATCTTTTTGTGATTAAATATGCTCCATTTTGCCAAATAGAGAGGTATCTTTCCCCTACAACCAGTACATGCAGGATGCTCTTTAAATGCCACACTAGTTGTTGTTTATCTGCGATGCAGATGACGTTTGAAGTGCATGCGTGGGTGCCTTGTCACCCGTGACACTGACCCTTCCTCGGGCCATGCCCTAGTCACCTTCAAATACTGGACATGGTGGGGATGGCCAACCATCTACCAACCCCAACTGTGCTGGGAATGCTGAGTTTCTAGAAAGTGGGTAGGGTGTTGCATTTTGTGTTCTGAGTTTGAGGAACATATTTATTTATTATTTTTTATTTCTGTACATAAAACAAAATGCTTTGAAAAGCTCAATACACATTCATGGTTGTCATTAAAGAAGCCTCATAGTAAGATCAATTCTGTTTACCTGTGCTAATAGTTAATTCAGTTCACCAGATTTTACTAAATGTTTATGATGTGCACAAGCACTTCAGGGGTTAAGAGATAAATAACAAGGTGATTTGTATGGTAGTGAATCCACCAGAGGATTTATTTACTGGATCTTTAATTTCTTTTTTATTTTCCTTATTTTTTTTAATGAGACCAGGTGAGGGATGACAGAGATGATTGGGAAGCGTGATCAATCACATGAGTCATTAAGTAAACTTGAAATTATACATTCATTATAAGAACGAAAAACTAATCCATCACGGGCAAAATTCTCTTATTTGGCCTTTATTCTAGATCGAGGCTGAGGTAATTGGATAATACTTCTCTCTGGGCTTTTCTCCACTCTACTTGTTTGTATTTTAATATTCATGTTTATATGATGATTTTTATATTAATTAGGTATTAGGAAGAATTTTACAAATGTAGAACATGTATTATTATATTACTATAGTAGTATAAAGCATCATAGGTCTAATTTTATAGACATTTATTATTAATCATAATGACAAGTAAAAGAAAAAATAATAAAGCCTGTTAGTAATGGCTTAGAGAATACAATACAGGTGAAGAAGTCCTTGGTGTATGTTTGTGGCCCATCCTTTGACTTGAATTAAGGAAATCTATTCGGGCATTCATTGGCCATTTCCGATACAGAATGACAAGCTACTGAGCTAAATTATGTGATTGCCCCAGCTCTTATTCTGATTTTTGGGATGTATCTACAGGATATAGTGAGAGGCTCAGGCTCTGGATGAAGAATGTTTCCTTCAAGAGTTACTTCTAAATACCACCACACTCGTGTTCGCATTTGGAACCAAGAAATAGTCTTTATTTACACTTTACTAAGTTTTGGTAATAAAAAAGACTGAGGAAAGAGAAATCCTGACTTTTGAGTGGCCATATACACTTTAACAACATCTGTGAGCAAAACATGGCACAATCCAGTCAGAACAGTGCCAGTGTTTCAAAGCTCCACGATCATATCAGAAATAGGACACATCATTAACATTTTCTGAGTTCCTAACTTTTAAATTCCAAACTATTATATTAAAAAGAGAAATTATGCATTGCAGTCTTAAAATCTGTAGTATGGATTTGGTTGTTCATGCTAGTCTTGTTATAGACAATAGTGAAAAGATATGGAAAATGTAAGCCTACAATTGTTGTGAAAAGGGTCACTTAAGATGACAGACCTGAACTCAACTTCTGATGGAAAACAAAAGGACAAATGTCTGATAGAACCGGTTTCAAATTCAGAAAGACAAAGTAATTTAACCCATGGTTGAAACACTAACTCCACTGATTCAGGTAGCATTCAACATACAGATTCACTCCCCAGAAGAAGCCAAAGCAACAGCTTTCCTAATTAATTTGCCACAATAATCTTGTACTGATTAAAAGTACCTGATAATCTATCAACTATTGCCAATGTTAGGTTCTTAATCACTTTTAGTTCCCTTGTGACCAGGATTATAACAGAGGGATTCATTCTTCTCCTTTCTTAAATAGCATGGTTATAACTTTAACTGAAAGCACAATTAAGCCCTTTTGGGAAGGCTTTCAGGCCTCAGCTGAGAGTCTTAAATTTTGAAAGAAATGATACAAATGAACCATTTCAGAAGTTTGTCTTAAGTACATATATATTGAGTAGAAAGAGCAAGAGCAAGTGGACTAAGAGGAATAAAAAGAGGAAGGAAGAGGGGGGAGACGAAGGGAGGAAGACAAAAGTGAGTTCTGGGGTTAAAAACTAGCAGCATTTTCATTGTATATGCTATAAATAAATTTTATTTTATAAGGAAAATACCTTTATTATTTTTTCTATAAAACAACATGTTCTTTGTATCAAAGTTCAAGTACAAAATACACAAAATAGAATATAAATATATTTTTTGGTACTGGTGATCAAACTCGGGACCTTGTGCTTGTGATGCAGGGGGCGGAACCACTGAGTTAAATCCCCTGCCCAACACAAAATAGAATATTAATATATCCATAATGCTACCCTGTAACGGAAACATATATTAACATCTTGGTGCATAACCCGTTGTTTTGTTTTTAAATCTAAAGTTGTATATGTGTGTTCAGTAAGAGAAGTAATAGTTGTTTTACAAAAATGGAATCATAATGTGTACTATTTTAAAATTTACTTTCTTGATTTAGCCATACATGTCCAGCATCCATGTTTTCTAACATAAAATCCTTTTCATTAGCATCAGAATACTCCAATGTATGACTCTTCCATCACTTAGTTAACCAATCCTTAACTCGTGGACATATTGTATTACTGTATTACTATAGTAATATAAAGCTCCATAGGCCTAATTTTATAGACATTCATTACTGATCATAATGACAAGTAAAGAAAAAAAAAATAACAAAGCCTATTAGTTAATGATATAGAGAATACAACGAAGAAGAAGCTCAAACTTTAAGTGCATGAGTTGGCAGGATTCCTTCTAGCCAATATTCTACCTACAGGAGTCAAGCCAGAGGCTTAGCTGAAGAAGCATTTAGCTATGGAATACATCTTTGTGAATGCACCTTTTAAACTTGTCTGATTATTTCCCAGAGGATAAATTCTTAGGATTTATTCTTTACATGGTTAGCCTCTGACACATATTTTGAAGTGAAAGGGAAACAGGCAATAGACATACAGAGTATCTTCTTGATGTGTGGCACATAAAATATTTTCACCTATAGAAGATGTTTATTGACACTTTGTATTCATATAAAAAATTACACAAATAATAAGAACATAAATTTACAAGTAAATGGGACTTAGATCAAAGAAGAAAATACTTATCAATACCATTCCTACCATATGCCTTGGCCACTTGTAATTTTTTTCCATTAAGTTTATTGGTACATTTTAGGTATACAATGCAGTTACATCATTAGGATCTTGTATCTTTACATGATGTATGTTCATTCTTATTTTTTCCCCATTCCGCTGCTCTCCCTTCACCCCCTCCACCCTTCCCTATTTACAAAGACTTTGTTTCCATGGTTTTCCTTTTCTCATATTTTTTCTTTTCCCTTCTTTCCTTTCACCTACTCCTCCCACTTCCCCTATTCCTGTAGACCTTTTCTTTCTATTTCACAATATCAATTATACATTTTGATCCTTATTTACACTTTTAGTTTTTCACACCAGAGAAACTATTTGGTATTTACACATGTGTGTCCTATTTATTTCACTCAAGAGTATTGGCCACCTGTACTTTCTAACACTCCTCAATAAGCTTATCTACCTTGGTTTCCTGATGAACATGCTACATCAAGAGCACTGCTTTTAAGAATGACTGGTGAACTGTTGAGTTGATGAAGGTCTCAGGCTTTCAGAAAGACCCCTTGCCAACAAAGTTGGTCTAGTTCAACGCAATGACTTTCCAAAATCCTACACACTGTCCCCTTTTGTTTATCAGAGTCAGTTTTCATTTTAAATATGTCCGCTGGACCCTGCTTAACACAGATTTTTATTTATATGATAAAAAGCCTGTGTAAACAAAAATATTTTGAACGTTTGGCTTTGACTGTCCACCTTGGCTATGAGTATAGAGTGGACCTAAGTTTGGAAAAAGGGGTCCTCAATTCCGAATTTGTAGCTTCTGTCTCAAGCTCAGTCTTCCTATGCACATCTTTTTCAGAAGAACACAAAACATGAACAACAACCTTCAAAATATACTTCACTTTTTGGTGTCCTTGTTTTCTGATTTTGAAGCTTATAGCTCTGATTTTTTGAAAATTTTTTTGCCTTTGTTGTTATTGTTGTTTGGTTTTGGTTGCTTAA